TGTAAATTATTTAAAAGTTCCTGTTTAATATTAATTATTAATAAATTAGTAAAATGATGAAGTTACATTTATCTTCAAAATATGATATTTAACTTAAAGTAGTTAGCCAATTGTTATTTGTTAAAAAAAATAGTTTATATTATAAAGCTTGGAGTTAATAATAATATTTGAAATATAATAAATTTGCCTTTTTTGATCATAATAAAGCTATTATATAACAAAAGAAATCAATATATAATATAAATGTTTTACAAGTTTTAAAATAAATAGTAATTTTTATATGAATTATAGGTGGGTAGTAGATGGATTGATGGGTTGGATTGACCTAACTTTCATTCAGATAACCTGCAGGTCCATCTGCCAGGTGACCTGGATAGAATTTTTTTTAGACAGATCCAATCTCTATATAAAATCCAAAATATTATTACCAAAATATATTTTATTATATAAAGATTTTAAATTATTTTTTATATAATCAAAATTAGATAAAAAAAAAAGATTATTAGTAAAATTAAAATTATTTCTATTATTAGAACAATATTCTCTTTTTGTCTTTTTGTTAATGGAAAGTCTTTTTTCAAGTGCAATCTGAACTTCACATCTAGATTTCCATATTTTATTTATAATTTCTTTATAAATGAAATCATGTAATTCTAGTATTATATTATTAACAACCTAATTTTTAAGCCGTAATGAAGTAAGATATCAAGAAAGTGATAAAGGAATAAAACCTTTAATGAAGTCAACATATGTTAAATAGGAATTGTTTTGAGGTAGAACCCATAAATCTGAAATTGATAAAATTTCATCCCATATCAATTTTATCAGCATTTTGGATTATACAACGTTACTCAAGTACCAAAAAAGAAAATTTTGGCCAGAATTGGCTCATCAAATTGCGCAGAAGAAATAGCAAAGTATATTTATATCAAACCTTTTACTTTAAGATTTCGGCAATTACATAATCCTAGATTTAAGATGAAATAGATTTGATCCGCGCCATTTTTTGTATCAATATTCAAAAACGGATATGTTTTTTTGATTCGTTCTACTTTACATCATGTACGACATACGAATCATAGGGATAATTTTTTTATAAAAAATGTGACGAATATTACACATCTTTTATTGGCCAGTTTATTAATATATCCTCTAATAATCATATAATGACAATGGTGTAGTTCAAGTATGTACAAATTCACTGCGGATTTCGGTTTTCATCTTGGAATATTTCTACTATATCCTGAATAGCTCATGCCAAGTTTTCAATGCTGTTAAAATGTCTTCCCTCCAATTCTTTTTTGATTTTCGGAAAAGAAAAAAGCCACATGGTGCTAAGTCTTGAGGAACAATTTTAATACCTCTTTCTGTAAAATTATAATTTGTGTGTAGTCGCATTGTCAATGATGGAGCATGACATTATGCATTGGATACGCCATTACTTTTTTGATGCATTTTATTATCATGATTTCTCAATAACTAGCAATGCAATTTTTACTCCAGTTCTTTTCTTAAAAATAGCCACTTATTTGTAACAAAGATTACGTGGTCAAACAATTATTAAACACCCCACACATCAACAATACCTGGCTTCAATTAAAGGTAATCCTCAGAAACTACGATTTGTTCGTTTCTTCATCAAACAATCGGTTTGGCTGGTATCGTTACACATGGATAATCGAAAACGTACCTGTGACATTGCACGGTTCAGGCAAGCCGTGCACATTCGTAATTTTACTGATAGGCTTAGCTCTGGCAGATCCCGTTCTTGTTCTTCAAATTCTTTCACATATATTTTCGCCTTAGCATATATGCTTTGAACTCTTCCTCTGCAGTTGGTCGATTTTCGGGATATGCATCCTAACATTTTAACATAAAATCTTTAACTCGGTTGGGATTTTGCGAACGATTTTAGGTCGTAGATCACGGCAGACTCGAGTGCAAGGTTATGTCTACTGAAAACTTCCTACATGAGCATTCCAAAACTGTATATATCTGATTTCGACGTATACGGGCGACGACGGAGAAATTCCGGAGCGAGATATTCTAACACTCCAACGATTCGATTAGAATCCACCTGCTCAATCGAACCGCAAAATCCAAATCACCTCTAATTCCGTCGTAAAAAAACGTTCCCGCTATGTAAATCCCAGTGAACCATTCCAGCGGTCACTGGATGGCTAATTTACCAATGATATGAAGAATGAATCGATGGTCATTAATAGACCATCAATAGATACCTGCGCAAAGGAGATTTCATTGTGTTCGACTAATTAAGTCAGAATATGATTCTCCTGCAATTCAGCTAAGGCTTGAAACTTTCGTGCACTCTGAAGCTGAAGAGCGTTTTCGCCTAACGACCGGTGAATAAAAGTAAGAGATATTTAAAACATTACCCGTGCACAACATAACTTCAGTAAAACCAATTCACTTTATTTTACCTCTTGTAGATATGCGTCACTCATATTCTCGTTTTTATCTATGCACTTCAGCGCAATTGTATGTGATTTACTTCGAACGTATTCTTGCACGTTGTCATCCCAGTCTACGATCAAGCCATCGTTCCAAACGGCCTTATATATAGTGCCCTCCTCGCGCAATATACTCAACATTCTTGAATCTTGATGGATTTGAAAGGGATCCATTCGATGGCGTCGGGGCATTTAATTGAGATTCGCCGAATAAGTTTGTCAAAGACTTCATGCCCGCTCGACCAATTATCAAAATTTACTTTCAGAAGATTCCGCATACAATTTTCATTTTTTTGAATAAGTTTCCTGTTTATATCTTTGACAGATTTCAGTCGGGTTCCCGTAAGAATTATTTCCGTCTGCTTCTCATATAAGTCGATAAGAGCGATTTCTTGTCCTCAGAAACTGTCTCGTCCTTCTCAATTAATTTAAATAGATTGGTAAGATATTCACTCAGATCATTGCCGTCAGAATCTATCAACTCTCCAACAGCCCTGGAGAAAAAATCCGGAATTTTTGCGGCATCTTCGTCCCTTTTGTCACTTGAGCCGTCAACATCAGACACTTTTTCCTCGTCATTTATGTTAGAATTTTTCTAACAAATCTCCAGGTTCACCCGATTGTAAATTATCACATTTTTTAATCATTATCCGAAGCGAAGCATATACCGCTCTTTAATAAGGAACTGAAAAAAATAATTTCCGAAAACGTTCTCTAATAATAGAGTTCACGCCATCATGCGAACAGGGACTAGGTGCTTGTCCTACTATCCTAGACGAAAAAAATGTCGAAAAATCACGTGACGTTTTCATCACCAGCGCAGAGTGGCGATGTATAAATTTCGACACGATTAATGAACTCGAGGGCGTTTGCAATCTGTTCCGCTATCTTAAGTCTAAGAGGCCACAAAAGTTCTCGATCGTTTCGGAGAAAATCCTCGAGATCTCCCTCTTCTGTCCATTCCGTAACAACGTAAAGTGTATAATTAATGAGAAGAGTCCATAACTAGTATAACCGTAGAACACTTAATAAAAGATTTTGAACACGTGTCACGGCGCGGAGACAAACTAGTATGTCTCAAAACCAAAAAGAAAAAAATTTACTCACAACTTTTCGATGTTGTTGCAATCAGACAACCTTGACATGAAAAAGGCGTACTTCTCGATGGCTTTCCTACCACCTTCTTTTTCTTCCGGAATATGCACTTATCTTGCTGGGAAAAAGATAAGGAGATAAGAAGAGTGATTAGCATTGTCGTATGATGCCAAGAATTCTATGAAAGCATATGAGTACGGAATCTTCATACTTTTCACATGGGGATCGACTAAAGCCTAGCGATCTCGAAATTGCAAAGTTCTCAGCCCTTCATAACATGTGGTTTTGTCATTATTAACTTATAAGGTAGGCCCTGTGTTGCAACTAGGCACTCTTTCACATTTTTCTTCATGTTTGTTTGGGAAAAAAGACTAAAGACTAGTATACACAACTTATATTGCGAAATTGATATGTCGACCTGTCTGTTACTTTGTCGCACGGGATTGACAGGAGTACATGCATTGTGGCCCAGCAAAAAAATCTTCCGACTCCGGGTTGATGATCAGTATTCCGGACTCGAATTAAATATATTACTTTATTATAGCTCGAAACTAACTCACCTTAAAATTTCACACTACCATTCACTTACGAATAAAAAAATCAAAGGTATTGTGCGCTTATTCCCAAATATAATTCATTTGGATTTTGATGGTACTACAGGTTTTACCGACGAAGGACTAATTCTTATAGCGGAATCATATCCAAATCTGAAGTATCTCAATTTATGCAGTAGCCTTATTGTTCGTCAAATAACTGATAAAGCTCTATGTACATTTGCAGAATTGTGCCGTACATTAGAATATCTAAATACAGTATTTCTAAGTGCACAGAGTTTTCTGAAATATCGAGTTGTAATGTTATTCGTTCTTACCCAAGGTTCTAGCATCTTAACCTTAGCCTTTGTGAAATTACTGATATAACTATCAAAGAAATTGTTAGACTATGTCTTAATTTAAAATATCTTGTTGATCAGCTCATTTCACTTAATCCAAATATTCATATCGAGAATTTCATAAGTAACACTGATTATATTAGTAGGATTCCGATTTTAAGACATTTTGGTAAATATGGAAACTTAATAAGGCTAGGAAACTGCTCTAGGAAGCCAGGATCGCAAAATGAGATATTTCAGTAGATGATGAAATCTTTCAGTAAAATTTCATATATTAGTTGAGAAAATTTAATTTGAACTTAATTAGAGCAAGAATTAAGCTGACATTTAAGTCTTATCAAAGCTAGATCAGTGGAGTCAGCAACTTAAACCCAGTAAATTTATAGTTAGACAATCTCTGACTTAAGGTATTATTTTCACCTTAATGTCGAGAGAGCTGGTGATAGAATACTAGCTGATCAAACAGAATGGTGGTTCTAGCTAATCTGGAGCAGTGAATAGATATCTATTTTTTATATTTAAATATTATATGCCATAATAAAATGATCCTCATAAATTGTGCAGTTAAAGAAAATCAGACAGTACTTGATACAAGCACTAATGTAAATTGTATTAGTGAAAAAAGTATTGATGGTATGAAAATGGTATACAAAAAAGATGATAGTAATTCTAAAGTAAATGGATCTTATTTCACATTAGGAAAAGTTAATCTGTATATTACTTTTAATGATGGCAAGAAGCATAAAAGTATACCTAGTGAATTCATAGTTGTTGGACCAGATTGGCCTGATAATTTTTCTGATTTAACCTTGGGAATATCATGGTTACAAGAAAATGGTGAATTTTAATATGCATAATTTATTACTAACCATAGATAATAATTTTACAATTTCATTTAAAAAAGTAAACTATATTTTGACTATACATGAAACTGAAATTGGTTAATTTTAACCTTCAAAATGGTCAAAATGGTCAAAATGATTTTGACTTGGACCTCTCCAAAAGTCAAAATGATCAAAATTACATTATAATTATATGATTTTATGGTAAACAATAATATTAAAATTCAAAGTTAACGAACTCCGCATTCAGTGATTCAATTTTTATGATCTTTATATAGTTGGATTCAACTCATTGGAGAATTCCAATGATATGTATTTCATATTTGTAGCATTAATATTGATGGAGTTATTCACATTTAAAATTTGGTATTAAATAGTCTTATAATTTTTATAGTAAACAATAATTTTAAAATTCAAAGTTAACGATCTTGATCTCCATATCTAGTGATTTGATTTTTATGATCTTTACACGGTTAGATTCAGCTCATTGAAAGGATTCCAATGATATATATTTCGTATTTGTAGTATCAATGTTGACAGAGTTATTTACATTTAAAATTTTATATTAAATTATAATTATAAAAAATCACATGATTATAATGTAATTTTGATCATTTTGACTTTAATTTTGACTTTTGACCTCTCCAATTCAAAATATTTCTACTTTTAGGCTTTAATTTTGACTTCATATATACTCGCATAGTATATTGTAGGTTACGTCCCGATCTTGTATTTATTTTTGCATAAATTAATAAAATTTTTTCTTGGTAAAAGTGATCAGTATGATAAATCATTACATGTAATTTTTTATTATTTATATATCTAACTCAAACTTTTAAATTATTCCATCTTATATAAAAAAATATTATCAAACATGCAATCTGAGATCGATTCATTAAGAGAAATAAATTCAAAGCTCTTAACCAAGATTACAGAACTTAGAAAGAAGAATGCCAAAGTTAAGGTTAAGAATATCAAATAAAGTTAAGGCTAAGAATGTGAAGTTAAAGTATGCTTTAAAAGAATATAAAGCCAAATTCATAAATCTAAAATAGAGAGATAAAGAAAAGACTATCCTTATTGCTAAATTAGTTGATGATATCAGGAAAATCAAATAGGAACAAAATGCTGTTAATATTTTAGTATAAAGCAATACATCCATACCAAAGTTTCCAATTTATTTAATAACTCTATAAACATTTATTTCACTATCTATTGAGGAGATTTCAAAGCAATCAGATCATTCTGATTATTTTATTAAAAAGAATAATGCTAATTCAGTCTAAGAGAACTCCCTATATCTCAGGATTTCGATTCAATATCTTTAGATCAAATTAATATACTACCTTTCATTATAGACTAATATAATACTATGAATCTAAATCATTATAGTATGATAGAAAGACAAATTCTTTCTTATAAGAAAAAAGTTAGTAATGAGATTAGATAGAGAAAACAGAAAAAATGTTTAGCTAATTGCATGTGCTTTTCCAAGACTTAACTACTTTTATATTATTCTGTCTACTCACTAGTTCAGGACTCCGGATATCTAATATAAAGGTCATAATGGACTTTTGGCCAAAAACACCCCTTTTTGCTGAAACTCAAAAAATCGTTTTTTGTAAATATCTCAGCATCCAGTAATTCAATTTTAATGAACTTTTTTTTATTTTGTAGCCCTCATTTAGNNGCTCTACAATTTAAAAAAAAGTTCATCAAAATTGGACCACTGGATGCCGAGATATTTACAAAAAACGATTTTTTGAGCCCTGAAAAATGGGCCAATCTGCCAAAAGTGTGACTTATGACCTGTTTTGGAGATATCCGGGGTCCTACTAGTTCGTGTTCAGAAAAAAATACTGAGAAGCTATATTTGAAGGAGAAAGATAATCAGAATGCTCTGTTACATCAAAAAATCTACTATAAGCAAAAAGTGAAGTAAAGTTTAAGGCAGAAACTATTATCCTTTTGCAATAGTAAAAATACCAATGGCAGGACATTTGCCATTCAGATTCCTGAATTTTTCCTAGAAACAATTCTAACAGGGTCTAGTAAAATTACAGTACAAACCATAGTTGATTTATTTAATGTAGCAATAAAGGTCAGACATAAGAAGATTCTATGCTGGTATTGTTACTATAAAGTGTATAAAGATTGAATTAAAGATGTTAAATCTATGAATAAAATTGATGACCAATCTGTAAGAATATTGGTATACAGCAAAATTAAATCCTTTTTTCCAGACATTACTGATGTGAACTTGTGTAAAATCACTTCTAGAGCTAAAAAAGTTTATATATTATTTAAGAAGATAGGAATAGATAAAATTCAAGCAGTTACCTATAGCACAAGTGTTATTTTAAGTCTGATAGAAATTCAGATTCAAGATATTATAAGTTGTTTCAGAATTTTGAAAAATATATAAATAGGTAAGATCTCAAGTTACTTAGAATTTGCTAAAAAAATTGTATCATCTAATTTATAAAAAAGTAAAATTTTAACTTTTTAACTAAAGCAAATACAGTAAAATAAATGGCAAAATTCAATTTTTTGAGTAAAAAATAGTTTAGATTCCAAGTATTATAAAAATTAGATTACTGATTTAATATTAAAAAATTAATTTTAAAAATTATGTAAATCATTAAAAAATCAATAATTTACTATAAAAGTCTATGATTTCAGTGATCTACATAATTGTTAAAATTAATTTTCTCAATAATCAGTAACTGGTAATCTAATTTTTATAATACTTGGAATCTAAACTATTTTTTACTCAAAAAATTGAATTTTGCCATTTATTTTACTGTATTTGCTTTAGTTAAAAAGTTAAAATTTTACTTTTTTATAAATTAGGTGATTTTTACAAAATTTTACTATTAATTAAATAAATAAATACTTTTAAAATATTGCTTTAAACCTTAACTTTAAAATAAATATAAATTTATTACACTGAAACTTATAATTTATACTGTAAATTTAATTTAAAGTTGGTGCTTTCTTTTTGTAATTTACTGTAAGTTATTTTTTACTCAAAGAATTGAATTTTACCATTTATTTTGCTGTATCTGCTTTAGTTAAAGTTAAAAATTTACTTTTTTACAAATTAGATGATTTTTACAAAATTTTACTATTAATTAAATAAATAAATGCTTTTAAAATATTGCTTTAAACCTTAACTTTAAAATAAATATAAATTTATTACACTGGAATTTGTAATTTATATTGTAAATTTAATTTAAAGTTGGTGTGTTCTTTTTGTAATCTACTGTATATTCACATAATTTTTTTTAACTTGATTTGCATATTTTTGTGTTCTATGTCTCCAATTTATATTATTATCATACTAACAAATTAATAGACATTTTTCAAGTAATCATTATTTCACATATGAAATTTGAGGTAAAAATGGATTTTTCAGGATGATTTTATCTGATTCAATTTATCATAACTTATCTCCAGATTATCTGATAGTTTTAACCAACTATAAATTTCATGAATAAGCAAGGGATTAGCTGTTAGTATAATGACAGGATGCAAATACCAGCCAATTAATGGGTTTTTCTGTTTCTATAATAAATTTATTATAGTTAAAACTGTTATAAAATGGTAATAATAATAAGAATCATTTGTTCTGCAAAATTTACAAATACATATATGTATAGAATTTTTATTTTATATAACTTGCCATATATAATAAACTATTATTTATTCATCTACAACAGTATTTATGAAAAAAATATAATTATTTTAAATTTCATAATCATATTTAGAAATATTCATGCATATCATAATAATTTCATTCATAGAATTATAGCCTAAAAATCATATTAAATACAATATTTAGTTCTATTGTCCATCCACAAATGTTTATTTCAATCTATTTTATAATAAATTAAATTGGTATCATTTCAATAAATAAAATATGATGTATAAGTAAGTTTGATATTTGGAAGATTTAGAGAAATAGAAGAATCAATATTACTTTAAGATTCAAATTTTGAAAAAAAAACCTTGACTATTAAATAATATAATTCCAATATACTCTATTATAAGATTATTTTGCTGAATTACAGTAAGTTTTTCAAGTGCAAATTTATGATCAGAATCATGATTATAAAAACCTGTTAAGTATTTAGATCTGATAAGCAAAGCTATTTGCAATTCAAAATTTAGCCAATTAAACTAAATACCAATATCTGGTTTATATTTATTTCCCATCATCATAATTATAATCTGTACCTTATGTTATAAACTAATTTTGATTATATATATAACCTGAAAAATATAATTTGAATTGAATTTATATTTTATATCTTCCATTAATCTAATATAAAAAGTGGTCAGATTCAAATCAATGATACAGTATGTAACATGAAATAAAATTTACTTTGATAAACAAGTCTTTTCCGATTATTTCAGTGCAGTATTTATTAAATATTGCTTGCTGTATATATATATTTATTACATTTAATTAACTTAGAAAGAATAACCTTAATAGAGTTTGATTTTATTTTTGCTTTCATCAATTTTCATGCAAATCTATTGTATATAATTATTAGCCATACTTTTTTGCTATTTTAAAACTGTTTTAAGCATCATTTAAATACTTAATTAATTTTAGAGACCTGTCTGATTTCTTAAGTAATTTGAACAGAGATTTCTTTTGAGTTTTTTATTATTTGATAAAATTGTTCTAAGGTACAAAGAATAAAAGAAATGCAAATAGAAAAATAAAAAAAATATTACTTATATTTTCTTTATAACTGGACAACATTTTCAGAACTTTCAAGTTGTTACTATTTCATAGTCATATAATATTGGCTAACCAACAATAATTATTATACTTTTATGTACTTCTAATGATATTTTCTACAAACTATTCTAGTAATTTAATTCATTAAAAATATTAAAATAATATATAAAAAATAAAATAATAAATTATACTTTTGGATATTATTACTAATAAGCAAAAAAAAAGGTAATAGCAGAATTGCAATATATAATAA